TAGTTCCCTGACTGTGCCAGGACTTCCAGTTCTCCCTGCTTGTTTCCCAGGCTTCTTGCATCTGTGCATTTAGCCTGTGTATGAAAACCTGGAAAAGCCAAGACAACTTGTGCCTTAAGAATCTGCCAGCCTGTTTATCACTCAGGGTGAGAATTTGCTAATTTATATCATATCTACCTAGTGTGTTAAGCTCAGTTTGCGGTTTTTGTTTATTTACTAAGGTAATCTGCTTGGCTCTGTTTGCTATCACTTATAATCACTTAAAATCTATCTTTTGAAATTAATAAACTTGTTTTTGTTTTCTCTAAAACCAGCTTGTGGAATTCATAACTGGGGAGGCAAGAAGCTGTGCAGCTCTTCCTCCACCTTGAGGGAGGGGGCAAATTTCATGAGCTTACGCAGTGCAAGACAATACAATTTTGGGTTTACGCTGCAGAGGGGGAGTGCACTTGAGGGCTGAGCAATTCCCTAGCTGAGTCTTCCCATGCAGAGCTGATTTCAGTGTCTGTGTCTTTCTGCAGGTGGGGGTGTCCCTGCCTGTGTGGGCTGGAGGAGGCTTGAGGGCCTGGCTCAGCAGGGCAGTGTAAGGGAATCCAGGCCGGTGGACCAGGCAGGCTCAGTGGTACCCCAGTACATCGGGTGGCACCCCGGAGTGGGGAGTAACCCATCACATATCTCACTTCTTTGACGTTGTTGGGGTCTAGGGCACTGGTGCACCTCGGTCCCTCCTGTGCTCTGCCTGTGGCACATAATAGTCTAGTCTCCTGGAAGCCGTGATACTTTGGTCTAATTCGGTTGCTGGGTCTAGTGTGCAGGTGCTGGGTGGTGCTGGTGGCCTGTGATACACCAGAAGTCAGACTAGATGATCTGGTAGTCCCTTCTGGCCTTAACCTTTATGACTCTATTTCCTAAGAACAGTAACATATCAAGATGGTCACTTGGGGTGCGATCCTGCAACCCTTCCTCTTACCTAAGTACAGGCTGCAAGATCCAGCCCTTAGCGGGGATACCAGACTGCTCAAGTGGCAGAAGGTGCCTGGCTTGTAGCCCCAGATACACTGTATTGCTCATATGTGGCACTATGCTTGCAGATACTGGAAATGTTCTTTGTTGAGGGGTTCTAATATTACAAGTTATTGAACCTTCTCTCCCTTTGTTCTCTGGCAGTGCGTCCCGCTCGCTGATTAACACCGCCAGGAGGATTGAGGGAAACACTTACTTTCCGTGCGCACTTTCTTCTGTTGCATGATGGTGATCTGTTTCTTCAACATATCCAGGGAGGCCAGCTGCTCTTCCCGCTCCTGGGTCAGTTTGACCAGCTCTTTCTGCAGCCTGAGCCAGTACTTCTGCAGTGTCATCACCTCTGAGTTGTATTCATCTATTTGCTTGGTCAGCGTGTTGATCTCAACTTCCAAGGGTCCCAGTTCTTGGCCCTGTAAAGGAAAGAAGTTTAGTATTAGTCAGACAGAGAGGCTACTTACTGTGGCATCCCTAGGCCTTCTGGAGCGCAGCACAGGGATGCCTGAAATGCTCATTTGCATGATGGAATCCAAATGCTTTTCCAGCACATGGCTGCATCAGCAGTGCTGCTATCTGAGTTCTGGGATCATGTGAACAGCTTCGGGGGTTGCTTCTGGTTGTACAGAATTCGTTTCTGTCATGCATAAGCAGAGAGAACTGTGTATGGCTTCCCTATCTTTACCCTCCTCCACCCCCTTTCTTGTGTTTAGATTGTAAGGGCACACCCTGAATGGAAGTCCCTAAATGCACCAAGAAAAATCCTCATCCCATAGATTTGCTCTTAATCAATTGTTGGATTATTTCTTAAAATGACACATTGTGAAGCTGGGATTTAATTTTTGCATTAAAACTAATCGTGAGTCTAAACTGGGGACTTGCTCACATCAGCAGCAGAATTCAGCAGCCAGAACTGGGGTTATCCCCATTTACATTTAATCTGGCCTCCCAGGAGAGGTATTGACCAGGGCTGCTGCTTTCATAATTTTTTAGGGATACAGATAGTAACACAAAAATCAGCACAACAGGCATTCTGAGTGCATTGTACAGGATAGACACAGCCTCTCGTTACTCACCCATGTCTATTACCTCTACTACGCAGTTACCTTTATGAACCAAATTTGTAATCTCATCAAAGAATGAAATGAGGTTTGGGGGATTAAGCATAAGGGACGTACCCCCAACTGGGAAATCATCATCTCCATTTTCTTGTTGAACAGGTTGACGACCCCCTGCTTGCGCTCGATCAGGAGATTGCGCTTGGCGATCTCATTCTCACTGCGGTTGATCAGGTCATTGATATTTTTCATTTCCTTGTCCAGCTCAGAGAATGTCTTTTGGAGCATGGAGAGCCTGCAGTTGGTGTGAGTTGTGTCCAGAATGACCTGGGCTGTGTCATTCTCAACTTTGGAAAAATGCAGCTCCTAATAACATCAACAACAACAAAAGCATTGTCATTCAGCAGGAATCCACTTCTTAGTATTGTAAACAGGTCTGCAATCCTGTCAACGAAATATGGCTAAGAGAGGAGCACGTCTAGTACGTAAAGAATGGGACTGGGAGTCAGGAGACCTGGAGTCTATTTCCAGCTCTGTCAAATGTGCTATGGGGCTTTGGGCTAGTTACTTAACTTCTCTGCGCCTCTCTTCCCCCATCAGTACAATGAGGATAATGATATTTACCTACTTCCTAGGGATGATGGGAGGAGTAATCCTGAAGTTCTTTGAGGGAAGATGCTAGAGAAGGCAAAGTTTATCATCATCATCATCCCTAAAGTTATTTTCCCAACCTATATGCCTCAGTTACATCTGGCCAGACAGACACAGAGATGCAAATAACTACAGAAGATCCACTTGCCCTGCATCTATCTTGGAGTTGCCTGCATGTTTCACAATCAAAGGCAGCATTAAAGCTTGCCAGGAGCCCAAGGATTGCACCTGATGTATAGAAAATGGAGTAGAGTGAACAGAGAAACAGGGCCCACAGAAATACAAGTCTGAGCACTTGCTGCTACATTCTTGATGTGACCACTAGGTCACTCAACTCAGGACGGCACACTTCTTGCTGGAACTTGTAGTCTCTGTGAGCTGCACCTCTGTATGCTGATGAGGGCAGCCAGATCGTAAAATGTCATGCTCTGTGCTTTGGCCACCTCTGGTTCACTTCATTTAGAGAGTGGGTCTGCTGTATTTCTCTCCACATGGAAGAGCATGCAGCCCTGAGTCTAAACATGCCCAGGGTGCATCACTCTATGCCATTCTCTAAGCCGAACATGAAGCCAGTACCTGCTGTACAAGATGGCAGTAATATTTCTTTGGCTAAATGATATTTGGAAATCCTGCAATATGATCCTCAAAAGGCAGCTGGGGAGGGAAGAGCTCTTAGGCACATCTGCACCTGGAGGGGAATTCAGAGAAGTTGCATTTTGCTTTGCAGGCCCTTCTACTTGTATGCTTAATAGGAATGTCCCCTGCCCTTTCCACAAGACCTGAAAACTTGATGAACAGTAACAGAGATCTCTCATATTTCTAGAGTACCTCTCATCCTGAAGAGTCCTAAAGTATTTCACAAACTCAGCCTACAGTTTACAAGGGCGTCACTTCACCCGCCGCTGAAATACAGCCACTTGTAGGGTGAAACTGCAATTTAACAGCACATGGCAACATAATGCAACAGCTTAGGATTGTAAGTAAAGAAGAATCCCAGCCATTTGAAACTGTACGAGAAATGTAATAAGGCAAAGGGAAGGACCCAAGATAGAATTTGGCTAGAATGCGACATAGTCAAGGACAAAGCCCTGTCCTCCTGGCAGTAACTGGAGCACTAGGAACACAGGGAATGTGATGGAGCGTGCTTTAAATGGGGTCCTTTTTTTTTTGGCAGGGGAGGCTATCTATTGGCGGCAATGGCCTTTGGGCCATGCTTGTAGTATCCTGGAGGGAATAAACACAGAATGTGTCTCTCTCTCCTACAGGTCAGCTCCCATCAATCACACAGAAACAGATGCCATACCAGATCCAGCTTTCTCTTATGAAGTTTAGCAGCCAGCTGGGAAAAATATTTTGCCGCTTTGCTGGACATCAGCTGATCCTGCAGCTTTGCCATGATCTGATTCTCCAACTCCTGCCTGGCTTCAGTCTCTTTCTCTATTTCCTTACTGATGGCCTGCAGCTCATTCATCCGAGCAGCTCGGTCCTGAGAGGAAAAACACGGAAACAGGGCTGTTCAAAAGTGCAGGCTGTTGGGATTTGGGGAAAGTGGATGGAAATCTACAGGTGACAAAATATCAATGTCTGATTCAAAAAGTCTCTTCTCCACGGGTATCTGGTCTCACCGAGTTGGCCCTGCTGAGGGCTTGCTCTGTCTCATGTAGCGTGCGGGTGTATGTGCTGTATTCAACTTTCAGGGCATCCTGTTTGGCCGTGCACTGGGCAATCAGCTTCTTGCTCATGTTGGCATCATTCTCCGAGCGGTTCAAGATGCTGGCAAGCAGCTCGTTCCGCTCTTCCTCCTTCGTGACTGACTTCTTGTAGACTTGGATCTCTGTCTCTAAGGACTTGAGCTGGTGCTTGGACTGCCTGCAAGGCCAAGGAGAAGACAGGAGAGTGTCATGGGGATTGATTTATGCACTGGATAGTCAACTCCAAACTCCTGCTTTCAAACAGGCTGCTGCAGAAATGAGTAAGTGAAGAGCAAGAAAATCAGACAAGTTTATTCAGCACTGGGGCTATCTGTGTTTATTAAAATCACCCCACTGGAAATAAAACCAATGCACCTAATTTTTTGGATAATTTTGAATAGCTCCTTGTGCTCTAGATCTCCCAGTCCTGTTATTCCCTGAACCGCAGTGTGAGACCTCAGGGCTTGATCTCAGCCCAAAACACCCAGGGCCAGTTCAGATGGGAGAACAGAACTACTGGGGCATCAGCTCTAGGAGTGAGAGGACAGAAGCTCCCTGCATGGCTCTCTAGCACCATGCTCCAATTGGCCCAGAAGGGACACTGATGTGAGGAACTGCCTTCAGTCCTGCCTGACCAAAAGGATAGGCATAACATAGGTTCTGTTGGGGAAGGGGTCCTTTCAGGCCCTCAGGTACCCATTGGTATTGGAACAGATATGCTCTTTTTCATGATATTTCCCCCTCTCTTTCCACCAAGCCCATGCTGTGATCACCCAACTGTTACTGGTGGCATCATGTCATTTCCTTGCCAATAAGCTACATTCCAGAGGATGTCCTTATGGGAAGGGTGAAGGAGACCCACAGCCTGGATACACTGGGAATGGATGGGCCACCACCATGCTGGGAAGTTACACTAAGGAGAGAGAAAACAAAGAAGATGCCAGTATATGGAGAGAAGCAGGCAGCTCTCTCACTTATGGGGAGCTGGAGGAGGTGGGAATCACAGATTTCAGCAGCTGAGAAGGGAGCATTTTTCTTCTCTGCTTGGCGTGAACTGCTTCAGCAAAGCTGTATTCTCACAGGAAACAGCAGTGTGTGATTCTGAGAGACATCATACATATTTACTACAGATTGCACCTAGTTGACTGCATGAAAACTAACCAATTTTGTCATGATTTAAACATATTTTGTATATCATCAAGAGTATTTTAATATACATTTAGTACATTTTATTAAATACTTTACCACATACTCTGTGAAAAACATATTCTGTTTCTGGGTGGGTTCTATCTAGCTGATGAGTGCCGGGAAGTAATTAACTTGGTGACAGTATTTCTCTCTTGTCTGCCCTGATGTTCTGTTGAATTCCTCACTAATTTCCCCCTCCACAGTCATATGGATGCAAGTCATGCATCTCTGCAGTTAAAACAAACTGCCTGCAACCCCACTAGTAGCCCGCAGGCTTGTGATAAATCAAATAATGTTTCACAAAGTTCCTCTCTCCCTTCCCCACGCTGCTGAGCATTTAGCTGCCGGATGAACAGCTGGGTTACAGCAGACTGACCTGTCAATCTTAATAGGATCCAAATACTCAGCAACAAATTCCATTTTATTCCCACTTCCATTCCATGTTTGAATACCGCCCCCCTCCCGACGGTATCTGAGTACCCTGAGTTGGGGATAGAACGTATTCCACTTCAGAAGCCCTCTCCGTTTCCCAAGTTCAGCCGTCATTTCCTTCCACACAATGTCTTCCCACAGGCACATTTCATTACACAGGTACCAAGCTACTGAAACTAGCAGAATAACCAACATCATAGTCAAGATGGAGCCTTATAAGTGGCTGGCAGAGATGGGTGTTTGACCGTGGAAACATCCTTCTCCCAAGCCTGATGTGGAGCTTAAGGGAAAGCAGACAGCGTCAGCATGTCTCCCTTGCTGCAGTGTGAATGTGACAACACAGAGCTCTTGGCAGATGGATGGAGAAACCAAAAGTCAAAAGGAAATGTGTCTATAGAAAATGAATTCCTTTCAGTTCTTCTCCCTATTCTCCTCAGGAAATCAGAGTAGAAAAGTATTTTGCTGATTCATGCTCCATTGGGCAAGTTTTAGGGCTAAAGAAAGAACGCACATTCCCTTCGGCACCAAAGGTTGGGATTTCCTGAGGAATGGGTTCTTGCCGAATGTCATCACATCGTGACTGCACATGACCTAGGTAAATCTTTCCTGATGCCTCTTCTTTTGTCCTGGGAAGTCCTGCAAGGGATAGAGTGAAATGCAAACCAGAGAACTCTGCCTAGTTATCTATTTCATACCTTTGAAGGAAGATCATGCTGTGAAGGGAGAAAACACTAACAAAAAATGATGCTCCTTACCGTAAATGACCCTTTGCCTTTCTAAGCTCTTCAGAGCAACAGATTTATCCTTCGTTTAGCGGACTCTGTACATACAACACTATATTAACAATAACCTTGACAGCACTCTTTTCTCTCTCAGAATAACTCCCATCCAAAGTGTAGCTACCCTTTTTGTTGGCCCACTTTCAGAGCTATACCTTAGTGCCTCCTGCATGGCAGAGTAGGCTTCATCTCGTCGCTTCATCCCAGTCAAACTGCTATCCCACTGATGCATCAGTTGCTTCTTCTCCATGTTAATAGTTTGTATCTCCATACAAGCCTGCAGAGAGACACCACTCTGAGATACTGAATCAACACTGGGCTGGGGTCTCACACCTGCATTCCATCCTCACTGCCCACTTCATTTCACAATACAGCTGGGAAGAAACAGCTCGAAATATTCACGCTTTGTCTTCTCTTGTTTTCCTATGTCCCCTGCTCTTTCTTTGACTCTTTGTACCTTTACCCTTGTAGAGTAAGTGAATTAAACGCATTGGCTTACATCTTGTTTTCAGCAAACAGAACGAGGAGTACTTGTGACTAACTCCCAGTCTTTATTCAAGCCTAATTTAATGGTGTCCAGTCATTATACAAACTAAAAACTATTTCCCCATGCTAATCTTTCCCTTACTGTTACTCACACCTTCTTGTCAACTGTTTGAAACGGGCCATCCTGATTATCACTACCAAAGTTTTTTTTCTCCTGCTGATAATATCCCACCTTAATTGATTAGTCTCATTAGAGTTGGTATGGAAACACCCATTTTTTTCATGTTCTCTGTATATATATATATATCTTCCTACTATATTTTCCACTCCATGCATCTGATGAAGTGGGTTTTAGCCCATGAAAGCTGATGCCCAAATACATTTGTTAGTCTCTAAGGTGCCACAAGGACTCCTTGTTCTTTTTGCTGATACAGACTAACACGGCTCCCACTCTGAATCTTGTTTTCAGTTACTCTAACAACTTCACTGTAACCAAAAGTGCAATTTATATCATTATGTACATGAACATTTCTTGCAACATTAAGGTCACAGACAAAAATTGCAGAAAGGAAAAGAAATGCAAAAGTCAAGGCCCCAACAGCAACATGAACTCAGCCTTGTCTCACATCCTGTGTGTCTTATGGGATACAATTTACAATGCACTGTAAATGGTAATGTATTACGCTCCAGATTGAACATGAGAATCCAGACTAGAAAAGGTCTATTGTGCTAGCACAGTTGGGTCAGTGCCTCTGTGCAGCGTATTGTGATGGACTGGTAGCACTATACAGCTATTTACATTGCGGTAACACTTAGGTGTAAAGCTAAATATAATTACTATGGAATACTTGGATATTGTGCTACTATGATGTACTGGAGAAAGATGTGTAATTAATATGTAGGAAAATGGATGTCAGAGATTGGACCTGGCATGGAGTTGCTCTGCTGAAGACTCATCCTATCAGTCACACCCGATGGGTCTGATTAGCCCCAATCCAGGAGCACAGAAGGGGTGTGTGTCTCCCTCCAAGGTAAAGGAACTAAGGGGGTGAGACAGGAGGTCTTGCAGGGGGAAACCCTACAAACAGCCAACTCAGGATAAGTTTTATTTGTTGTTGTTCTTAAGACCATAGGAAACCCTTTATTCACACAAAGGGCAGGGGTGTGAGATTTTGGACTCGGGGTGTGTGTACTGTGTTAAGCGCAGGGTGGAGGACTCTGGCCCATCACAACATGTAATATTAACCACACATGAAAAATATTGTCATCTCCTACCTCACTCACTGCTTTTCGGGTTATTTTTGTGTCTTCAGCCTGGGCAATAAATTGAGCTTCATACAGACCAATCTGCTCCTGCAGTTCATTGAACTTCCTTGTTAAGCGGTCTACAAGCAGATCCTACAAAAATCAGACCACAACAGATCAGCACAAATACTGCAAACAATCCCAACCCTGACACCATGAATTCAGCAAGAATCACATGAGGGAAGCAGGGTCAAGTGAGGGTGTTGCATTAGAAGTGGTGGCTCTCAGATCGTCACCATCCTCACTAGTGAGTGCAGTGCCATGTGAGGACAGTCATCTCCATCTCTGCTGAGTGGTCAAGATTGCTCAGTCCATTGCACCACTCTGCAGAGGATTCATTAGTCCATTTATATTCGTCAGTCTCATATCAAGGAAGAGCGTCAGGTCCAAAATGTCACCTAACTTCTATCTATCTAGGTTATTACACTGTGCCCATCACCATGGCATCTGATATCTTAAAAGGTAATAATTTAGAAGAAAATGCCCTCTAAATAGCTATCAAAAATCCACACTCCATTGCCACTGTTCACAGAATCCTACAATATTGATTCTGCTGCAAGAGGCAGTCATCTAACCAGCAGAGGGAGCATGAGTTAAAACGAATGGGCCAGCTATATTTTGTGTTGCAAAATCACTTTTCTGAACTCATCATTGTTCAGAATAATCCCCCCGGGGCTTGAAAATAAGGTGTCTCCTCACTAAACCTCACCTTCCTCCTTTGCATGTCTGGATACTGGGTTGTTACTATAGAGTTACTCAAAGAAGCTGTGCTGTGGTTTTTGATTTTTTTTTGCTGTCAGGAAGGTTTCTGGGATTTTTTTTTTAATTTAGAGGAAAAAATAGGCGAACAGAATGTTGGGAATCATTAGGAAAGGGATAGATAATAAGACAGAAAATATCATACTGCCTCTATATAAATCCATGGTACGCCCACACCTTGAATACTGCGTGCAGATGTGGTCGCCCCATCTCAAAAAAGATATATTGGAATTGGAAAAGGTTCAGAAAATGGCAACAAAAATGATTAGGGGTATGGAACAGCTGCCATATGAGGAGAGATTAATGAAACTGGGACTTTTCAGCTTGGAAAAGAGACGACTAAGCGGGGGGATATGATAGAGGTCTATACAATTATGACTGGTGTGGAGAAAGTAAATAAGGAAGTGTTATTTACTCCTTCTCATAACACAAGAACTAGGGGTCACCACATGAAATTAATAGGCAGCAGATTTAAAACAAACAAAAGAAAGCATTTTTTCACACAATACACAGTCAACCTGTGGAACTCCTTGCCAGAGGATGTTGTGAAGGCCAAGGCTATAACAGGGGTCAAAAAAGAACTAGATAAGTTCCTGGAGGATAGGTCCTTCAATGGCTATTAGCCAGGATGGGCAGGGATGGTGTCTCTAGCCTCTGTTTGCCAGAAGCTGGGAATGGGCGACAGGAATGGATCACTTAATGATTACCTGTTCTGTTTATTCCCTCTGGGGCACCTGGCATTGGCCACTGTAGGAAGACAGGATACTGGGCTAGATGGACCTTTGGTCTGACCCAGTATGGCTGTTCTGATGTTCTTATGAATTATTTGATTTAGAAAATGCACATCTAAGGAACTACCTGGTATTTGCAAACAAATACAATCTAAGAATGGAAGAGGGCAGACCATATTTTGTACCAATCTTCCTAGAATATGTTCTTTTAGCATTCTATATGACAAGACAGCATTTCCCCAAGGGACTCTGAACTCCAATGACATAATTCACAGCCTCATTGTCAGACTTGATATTTGCCCTATACCTGTTTTTTCTTCTCCACCTCAGCCTGGTTCCTATCTGCCTCAGCCTTCTTCACTGCCCGTTTCATCACAGAGATGTCGTCACGCACATCCTGGTCCATGTTCTGCATATAGAACAGACGCAAGGCCAGGTTTTCCACCTCGGTCTGCATTACAGAAACTGGGGAGATAGGTGGAAAGGTCAGTTACAGAAGAGGATTTCTGCAGCATGTACCATACCAGAGCTAAAAGAGAAAGAAATTAGGATGTGGACAGAGCAAAACCCCTAAACTCTCCCCACCCCCAAGTCATATGACCCTCTCTGAGGTGGGCATGGACATCAGTTCCTGGAGCAGAATTCCTGGGGAGAAATTCCCCAAGAGACTTGGTAAGTGCCCTCAATTCCCAGTATATCCTGTATCTCCACAAAACTGAAATAGCCCAGTTAAGTTCACTTCCTTGACTGTAAGGGGTTGCCATGCAGAAGATCGTCATCTGATGCACCAGGCTGTCTAATCAACTAAGGATCTGCAATCTTCACCAAAGCCGCAACGGTCCCAGGCAGAGGCCTCAGACAAGTATAACTAGCCAAATGGTGGGAAATGAGCTGTGTTGAATATTGGAAAGCCATTGGAACAACTTACCAAACGTCCTGGTGAATTCTCCCTCACTGGCAATTTTAAAATCAAGAATGGATGTTTTTCTGGGAATGGGAATGATGGAACGGATCACTTGATTAAGCATGGATCACCTGATGATTACCTGCTCTGTTCATTCCCTCTGGGGCACCTGGCATTGGCCACTGTCGGAAGACAGGATTCTGGGCAAGTTGGACGTCTGGTCTGACCCAGTGTGGCCGTTCTTATGTTCTAAGAGATCTGCTCTAGGAATTCTTTTGGGGAAGTTCTCTGGCCTGTGCTATACAGATCAGGTTAGATGATCACAATGTGGCCTTAGAATCTATGAAAGCCTATTTGCCAGGAATGGCCTTTGTTCAAAGGAATCCTTTAAAGGGACAGAAAAGCATTTGTCTTATGACAAAGATGGGGGTTATACTGGTAGAAATTATGTCAAAACCAAGACAAGTATTAGGTACATCTATAGTGCTTTGAATATACATGGTGCTTTACAGATATAGAATAAAAAATGGTCCACACCCTAAAGAGCTTACAAACTAACCAATTCAATTGCCAAGCTATGCTACAGGAGGCCTAACTGGCGAGGCATACCAGGTATTCTTGGGTTGATCTTTTCAGTCAGCGAGCCATTCCTGAATGCTTGGGCTGATGTTCTTCAAACCACTGTTCGACTTACGCTCAACCTCATTTGTCCTTACGTGACTAGAATAAGGAAAGACTAAGCAAGAGCACCTTAGTCACCTTTCTTGCGTTCATCCTCAGTGCTCTGACATGTTTTCTTGTACAAATTTCTGATGTCCTGCAGCTCCTCCTCTAGCTGCCGACGCACCATGGCTATCTGAGAATATCGGTCCTGGTTCTTCTCCAGTTCCATCTGCAGCCGGGCCAGCTGCTGCTGGACCCCATAAAGGACTATTCCCAGATCCTCCCTCTGCACCTTACCCTGCTTTGTGGCCACTGTCTGCAGACACAAGAGGAGATAGGTCAATTCACACCAACTTGGACAGGGCTGGAATGCTGTGGGAAATCCAAGGAAGACTACTATACCAGCTCCCGAAGCTCCATGGTCACTTTTTCCATCTGTTTACTAAGGTAATTCTTTAAGGCAGCTTGGAATCTTCTCATCAGGGGCTAGAGAGGGAAGGAAGATGATGATAGCATCCTTATAACACCTGCATGAATAAGTTATCAAGGAATATGTGTCAGGTATAACACTGCATTTTCACCTCTGGAGACTTGGGTTCCTGTCCTGAGCAGGCTGCAAGTGAAATGGGTTATGCAGATTCAGCCTTGAGCCTAGTGGACATTTATTAATATCATAAAACAACCACCTAGTTTGGCATCACTAGTCGTTTCTGTTTAGGTGAGGCCCAGAGTCTTTGGAGGTCAGAAGTGAAATGAATGGCAGAGCTGTGCGAGGGAAGCTTGCACACCAGCTATAGGTCCTTCATTTTCATGAGAACTGAAGTTCACCAGATTTTCCCATTGCTCTAATTTACTACAGAGGGAGCAGATACCATACAGGAGTCAGAACTTTTGTAAAAAGGATGTATGACGTATTTAACCTAGAATGCAGCTAAATCATGGCCCACTTTGCCTCCCACTTTTCATGGAACCCTCGATACCAGTGATGAGTCTTGAATTTGGACTTTTCTTACATGTTCCGGGTCCAAGACAATCAGCTGTGTTTCCTCCTCCGATTCCTCACTGCCCTCTATTTCAGCTTGCTCATCTGCATAATGTAGACTTTCATTCTCTTCCTCACTGCCAAGCCTGCTGAGGTGCTGGTTAAACTGCTGAAACGCAGCGTCTGAATACGGAGAGGAGATGGCTACCCCAATGTCACCTGTGCTCGGATGACAAAGAGCAGGCATCACAGAATGGGAATTCAGTGCATTTAAAGGTATTTTAAGATTAGCAGATGTCCTGATAAGGGGAAAAATACCTACCAGAGCCAGCTTTCTTTGGAGTTTTCGATTGCCTCACAATGTCAGTAGCACACAGGAAATAAATCATAATAAAAATATACAGTAATTCTAACAGTGAGGAGGAAAGTTATTATGGAAAAGATTTAAGAACAGGCTTAGTAGTAGCATCATACAGAGGTTAAACATGAGGATTAAGGCTTGTCTACATGGAGACACGCAGAAAAATTAATCTGAATTAAAGGTGTGAATTTAAATAAACCAAATTAAGGCCACTTTAATTCTGAATAAGAGTGTCCATATGGGGGCTTCATGTTATTTAATTAATACACTTTAAATTCACATCTTTAGTTAATTCGGATTAATTTTTCTGAGTTCCCTGTGTAGACAAGCCTTTAGATTCGATAGTGTATGTCCAACTAGATTCACATTTATTGGGAGAGGAGAAAAAACTGGATACTGTATTTGAAAGCTGGCTGCCAGGATAGTACGATTAGTAAGACACTGACTGATACCTGACTCAGCATGAATCTCCGTGTGCACTGATAATGCAGACCTCTGGGTGCTAGCTCCTGAGGACGTGCGGGATCTGGTCCAGCTGTCTCTCACTGGCTGCTCCATGTCAGGCAGTTTGGGAGGAAGATTATCCACTTCCACTTGGTCTGAGGAAACCTCTTCGGCTTTTTCCTGGAACATAAAGGCCATCATATAAAATCTGGGCTGTGAAAGGATCTTCATTTTAACACAGTTTGCTACTAAAATTCTGCTTATCTTTGTCATCACAAGAGAGGAACAATGTAGAAAAATAGTCAGCTATCAAAACAGTCTTGCTGCTTCCTGAGGAAGCTGGAAAGCAATTAAAAGGCTCTAAAGTTATCCCACTGATATGCCAGCAAGGCTTTATCACTCATGGTGATGGGCACTTTAGAAACGCATGCAATAATAAACTAACCCCTTGAATTTTGCCAAGAGTTTTTTATCCACCATGGCTGGTTACCAATTGTCTCCTTTCCAATTAGCCTCTCTCTTGCATGATTCATCCAGTGGTGTATGTTTACAGTACTAGAATTGGTTCAACAATTTGGGAATGTAATGTCACAAACACTGAATTGTAGGTCTTGTGAATGAGACGCTCCCTTAGTTTAAATTCATAACCAATCACCTCTCCAAAGATGACCTCAGAGACCACCTGCTCCATGGCCCCTGCAACCTCCTGCTCCATGGCCCCCGAGACCTCTTGCTCTGTGGCTCCTGAGACCTCCTGCTCCGTGGCCCCCGCAACCTCCTTCTCCGTGGCTCCCGAGACCTCCTGCTCCATGGCTCCTGAGACCTCCTGCTCTGTGGCCCCCGCGACCTCCTGCTCTGTGGCTCCTGAGACCTCCTGCTCCATGGCCCCCACGACCTCCTGCTCTGTGGCTCCCAAGATCTCCTGCTCCATGGCCCCTGAGACCTCTTGCTCTTTTGGGATGAGTCTCTCTCCTGGGTCCTCTGTAGGCACAACCTGTCCCTCTTCCTTGTCATCACTGTTCTCTGGCTGCATTCCCTAGCACAGATCAAAACCAGAAAGCAGAACACAACAAAACAATATTATAATGGTCCATGTTCTTTACTAAGGACTATTACTACAGTGCTTTACAGCTGCTTTGCAGTGTCAGTGCACAGGAAATGAATCTAATCTGACCACATCTAGTATAACAGCAGCGCCTGCTAGGACTACAGTGGCTAAGGCCCTGTCAAAATTTCCATGAGAAACTTTTAATTTCCCATATTTGTAACTCAGAAGTGAAAAATCTCTCTTTAGATTTTACCGAAGAAGGTAGTTTTCAAAGTCACATTATACCCAACCGAATCGCTTTGTTTTCTTTCTGTCTGTCTCTTTTCAGACTGTTCCTTTTAACGAATGCTGTAAGTCACTAGGTTCTAAGATTGTTGCCCAGGCCTTTGTTATCACAAAACGAGACTATTACAGTGTGCTATAGCTGAGGATCCACCTTAGAGCCATCCTAGACTGAAGCTGGTGCAGAACACAGTGGCTCGCTTACCAAGTGGGGCATCTTACTGGAAGCAAGTGACACTGGTGCTCCAGGATTTGCACTGGCTGCCTGTTGATCTCCGGGTGGAATTTAAGGTGTGGGTTATGACTTAGAAAGCCCTAAATAGCTTGGGACCAGTCTGTCTGAGGGATCGCCTCTCTCCCTGGGCCAAACTTCCACAGCAGCTGTGATCAGCAGGGAGCCCAAGCTGGATCTCTCTGGTTATGAAGAGGTGGCAGCTGGCAGGGCATTTTCTTTGAATGTTCAGGACTATGGAACTTGCTCCTAATGACTCTTACAAACAGATAACCTACTTAAACAGTTAGGGCCTGATTTTCATAACTGCTTGGTGCCTGCAGCTTGCATTGACTTTCACTGGCATCAAAGATGCTCAGTACTTCTGAAAATCAGGTCCTTGGAGTGGTTTTGAAAATAAAAGAAAACAAATCGGAGGATTCCTATGTGGACTGAGACAGCCCAGTAAAATGTCTAGTGTGAAATATCATTTAGCGCAGAAGATAAATATGAATAATCTGTACGTTCTATCTCCCCCAATAAGTTAATATTTACATTTATTTTCTTGCAGTCAATTTATTATGTATGTTTGTAACATTGTAAGCCAGGGGTAGGCGCTCCAGCTGATTTTCAGTGGCACTCACACTGCCCGGTTCCTGGCCACCGGTCTGGGGGGCTCTGCATTTTAAATGAAGCTTCTTAAACATTTTAAAAACCTTATTTACTTTACATACAACAATAGTTTAGTTAGATATTATAGACTTCTAGAAAGAGACCCTCTAAAAACATTAAAATGTATGACTGGCACGCAAAACCTTAAATCAGAGTGAATAAATGAAGACTCGGCACAGCACTTCTGAAAGGTTGCCAATCCCTGTTGTAAGCTATATATAGGCAATGAGCCTGTTGTACTTCAAATAATCAATGGCTCCTATTTTGAACGTGGATTGTGGATGAAAATTCTTTAATTACTGTATTACAGTAATGAGCACTCAGATTTCCATACCAAAATACAACTCTTAGGGCCAAGTCCTGCAAATTTCCAAGCAGCAAGATGCTTGAGGTCATCACTTTAATAAGATTAGAGGCTGCTCAACACCTCACAGGATGAGGCCCTTACTAAATAAGAAAGCTCCATGCACAGATTTATCTTTATTTACGATGAGAACTTTGAAAATGAAAAGGCAAAATCTATATTCAGTGGGAAACTCAACTTTCACCCAACAGACACAAACTTCTCTCCAACATCCACCGAGCAGACAGGATCAGAGCATGTGAACCAGTTTCCCCACTGATAAATTGGGGATAATGGTGTTTATCTTTCCTTTAAAAGTGCTCCAAGATCTACAGATGAAAAGTGCTGTGTCAGAGATGAGTACGAGCTAAGTTTTACAAGACTCTCCTGGAAACTGGAATGTAGCCAAATTAAGCTTCCCGTGGCCCCCCTTTCATGTCCCCGATAAGATGGCAATAGTTTCTCAATTTTTTGCTACACTGGAATTGCTTCGTTAATGATTTGTGATGTCAAAGCATTGGACTGATTGTTCTGTAGATACCACACGTTCCTAGGGAGAATTCATAAACATCCACCTCTACAGTCGGAGGCTCTGGGGATTCAGGTGCATTGTGCTCTGCTGGGTTGAGTTCCATTCCTGGCTCCTCTGCTGAAACACCATCTGCCTCTTCCTTTCTGGTATGGCTCCTCTCTGGTTGCACCACCTAGCATACAGCAGAAAACATTGGAACAACTGACTGTCTCCAATCAAAGTTCCCTATTATGTACTGTACTACTACTCACAGCACTTTACATCTAGTGTAAGGAAATGCTCTTAATATTGAAGCATCTGCTAGTGCTGCAGTCATTAGAGATGTAGTAGTAAACCCTTACATTCCTCCCAGCCTCTACAGAGATTTTTTTAAAAATGGCTTGGTTGTTTTAAAATGTAGCACAAAACCAAAATCCCTAACCCAAAAGCAACTTGAAATGATTATAAAAATTCAACATCAAAGTCCATAACTCAAAATCTGTGAAGTCTTATTCTGTGTTTTGTCTTGCTTAAGATTATGAATTGACTTGCTTGCAAATACGATATTTCCCAATAAATGTTAGAATTTTCTTTAGGAGGAGACCACTCTGAATATTAAATATATTATACCAATAGATCACCACAATTTCTCAGATGGAGGAAGTTTCTGTATTCACAATTTTTGAAAATTTAGAGGATATTTTTAGTGTGTTAACTATTTTAATGTTTTTCAGGCTCCAAAGTAAATGTGTTCCCACACATCTTTTGTACATCCTTATTAGTAAAGTGATGGGTACAAAAAAAATCCCCAAAGAAACATAAGGCTGGAAGGGACCTCGAGAGGTCATCTAGTCTAACCCTTGCCCTGTGGGAGGACCTAGACTATCCCTGACAGTTGTTTGTCTAACCTGTTCTTAAAATCCTCCAATGGGGATTCTCCCTCAGTAACGTATTCCGGTACTAAACTATCCTTATAGTTAGAAATTTTTCCAAAATCTGATCTGAATATTCTAGCTAATCCTTTTCAGGACAAAGGCACTCTGATCTCTAACATTTCTTGGGGAAATGTTTCTTTCCGTGGTTTGAATTTTTTGTTTTTTGAATGTTTTGTTTCAACATTTCTTGGGAAATCCAATATTTCAATATTAGTTGCATTTCTAGTGAACCCACCCACATAGTATCTGGGCACCATAATATGCGCTAATTCCAGTGTGATTCTAATTCCAAAGGTGCATAAAGTCCTTCATATTTGCAACTTTACCCCATTGCCTTCTGGATGCAGCTCCTCCTCCTCCTCCTCTTCTTCTGAAATTTGTCCAACACCTGATTCAGGGCTTAATTAAATTGAACAAAATTATTGAACAATTTTAAGGAGAATAACAACGTACAAAAATGAAAAGCTTGGCTCTAGGTCAAATACTGTACTAGCGCTGCCTCCTGGGGCATTAACAGGGATCAGAACCAAATGCAGGAGTTTGTAAACATGCGGAACCTAACGCCATCAGGAACACTTGCATAGTCTGTTTCAGTGTGAATGAAGACAGTTTATTACTTGGATTTGCTGTGTTTGCAACACAGTCACTGCAGCCTTGTGCAAGTGCCTGAGAACCAGAAACGGACATGGACTGAAAACAATGGAATGCTGGTGCAGCTGGAGGAGACAGAGTCTGGAAGAGAGCTAGGATTTGGGGGCTGGGGCTGGTCTGGAAAGGTAAGGTAAGGGATCCTCCTTCCTTGTCCCTTTCCCTCGCTGGCTCTTTTCCCCATCCTTGTTACTCTGAGCCCTCTACAGTTCCCACTAGCTCTATCCGCTCCTCTCCCCATCTCCATCCCAATTTCTCCCCTCCTCCCACCAGCACAGATCCAGATCCCACATCCTCCTCATCCCCTCTGGTGACATTAGCCCTAACACTGGTTATCCCCCATCCCCTCTCTACCTCCCACACTTGACCCTGCCACCATCTCCACTCCTCTTGTTCCATCATTCCTAGCCTCATGCCCATCTCCCGTTCCTTCTCCCCAGCTCTTGCTGTCTCTGGAATGCCCGTTCTATCCACAATCTCTTCCTCTCCCACTCCTTCCAGCTCCCAGCTCCCAGAGAGACATAGATCCCTTTGTTTGACTCTGCTTCTGCAGATGCCTTCTCTCACAGATGCCTCTCCTTCTCTCCTACTCAGTGTTCTGGATCAGACCATGGTGGGGGTCTGGACTTCTCTTCTTCCATTCCTGTCACCTCCAACCTCACCCTGCTCTCCCTCCCCACTCTTTCTCCTCTTTTGAACAGGTGAGAATGGTGAGGGGCTGGAGGAAGGAAGGGGTGAGGATGATGAGGGGCTGAAGGACGGATGGGGGAGGATGATGAGGGGCTGGAGGGGGCAGGGAGGAAGGAGGGGTGAGGATGATGAGGGGCTGGAGGAAGGAAGTGGGGTCGGGGTGAGGATGATGAGGGGCTGGGGGGTGCAGGGAGGAAGAAGGGGGTGAGGATGATGAGGGGCTGGGGGGAGCAGGAAGGAAGGAGGGGGTGAGGATGATGAGGGGCTGGAGGAAGGAAGGGGGGTGGGGGTGAGGATGATGGGGGGCTGGGGGGTGCAGGGGGGAAGAAGGGGGTGAGGATGATGAGGGGCTGGGGGGAGCAGGGAGGAAGAAGGGGGTGAGGATGATGAGGGGCTGGAGGGAGGAAGGGGGTCGGGAGGAGGAGGGGCTGGAGGAAGAGGCTCGGAGGGGGGGGGGCTGGCACAGGCCCTCCCCGTGAGGGGCCATTTGGGGCGCGTCCCTGTCGCTCACCCGCTGCCCGGCTCCACCGGCTCCATCTTCCCGTTGCCAGGCGACACCATCAACATCCGCGATCCGGGAGGTACCACGGGGGAGGGGGAAGCCGGACTGAACCATCCCTTCCCCAGGGCGGGGAGGGTCAGTCGCGCAGAGCAGGGGGATAGCGGGGCCGGGTCTCCTCGCTCCCCCCCCCCCCGTCCGCCGTGGCACCTGCTGGGGAGGGGAGAGCCCCGCGGTGGGGGGGCGATGATGGGGGTTGGATCCCCAGAGACTGGTGGGGGGGATTCAATCTGTTAAAATCCAATCAATTGGATTCAATGTGTTAAAATTTTCGTGCAAAGTCATTAGTGGGTGCAAAGTGTCCCCAACAGAGCCAGCCTGCTCCCCCTGCATGGTTGCAACACCATCAAAATGTGACCCAGCCACCCGTGTGCACACGCGGCGGAGCAGCCGGGCCAAGTGGCGGTGCGGCCTGGTGCACAGGGTCTCTCTGCTCCTGTACAATGGAGCGCAGGGGAGTCAGCTGTTAACTTGACTCTTCATGGCACCAGCTTCTGCACTTTGTAGATGAGAGAGGGGAGACTCCCCAGTCAAGGAGACCTGGGGTCCCTGCAGGAGGAGTAGGGGGAGAGACCGCGGACTGTAACGGAGTCTGTGCTGGGTGGGAGGGGACCAGAATTTCCCCCCCCCCGAAATATCTGGATTGACATCACTGAAACTGAGCGACCTGGGCCAAAAGATGTCCCCTCATTCCTAGGTGCAGGAACTAGGGGTGCAGCTGCACCCCCGGGCTTGGAGTGCTTTCCCTGCTAGACAGGGGTTACCGTTTGGTTCAATGGCTCTCAGCCTACACACAATAAAATTGTCCTGCCCCCGCTGCCTGCATTCGTTGATGAGAATACATTTTTCCCATATGGCACCTCTCTGCCATCAGTGTTAAAGGTGCCTCCCTTGTCTGGAGCATGCAGAAAGCCAGGTGGACCCTGCCCCACGCTGCCAGCCCGCGACCCCCATGCTGGGAGCTGCGGATCTGCCCAGGGCAGAGGCTGTGGCTTCTTGGGCCCGTCCTTGGGGTGGGGCTGGCCCAGGGCCCCCTTGAACCGGCCGTGGCAGCTTTCAGCAGGTGACATACAGGTGTGGGGCTGAGGCGGGCAGGGTGCACCGAGGTAGCTGGGCACAATAGGGCTGGAACTAGGGGTGCTGCTGCCCCCCTGGCTCTAAGTGGTTTCCATCTAGACAGGGTTTAGTTGGTTCAAGGGCTCCCAGCTCCCCCACTACGGCTCCAGCGCCCCTGCCCAGGCGCCCACGGGGGTCGATGGTCGAGGCCCCTGGACGGGCCCCGCTGGAACTGCCCAGGGGCCGCTCAGAAGTACCGGGGGCCTCCTCGCAGGGGCTGCCCCGCCGCGGGACCACGGGGGCCGGGGAGGGGAAAGCGGGGTCCCTCTTGCCCGTGGTAGGGGCTGTCTCGTTGACGCGGAAGTGGAACGGACACCGGAAGTAGGAGGGGTGGCGCGTGTCCCTCCAGCTCCCCGCTTCTCGCTGGTCCCTGCGGGACGACGCCCGGTGACGCCCGGGCCGAGCACGCCCCATAGCCCCGCGCCCGTCCGGGAGGGGGCGGGGCTGCATGAGGGGAGGGGCGGGGCTTCCCGTGTCCACGCCCCCGCTGCCCCTCCCCCACCCCCTCCGCCCGGCCCGGCCTCACGTTGCTGAACGCGGCGGCGGAGGCGGCAGGAGCAGGAGGGAGCCGCTGGTCCCGGCCCTTGTGCCTAGGGCCGGGGTGGGTCTGGAGCCACCCAGTGCGGGGGTGAGGCTGCCGCCTGGGGCTGGCTGTGCTGGTGAGGGGCTGCCTGCCGGAGCTGCGTCCTGGAGCGCGGCTTACGCTGCGGGTGGTTGTATCTCGGAGGAGGGGATGGCACTGTGGGGGTGGGGCTGCATCCTGGATGGGGGCTGTAAGAGGGGCTGTATCCTGGAGGGGGGGGGCTGCAGGAGGAGGAGGGGGAGCTGTATCCTAGAGACGGGTGAGGTTTGCACTTTGGGGGATACTAGGGTCCCCAGATGTCCCGTTTTTGGGATTTGTTCTTATGTAGGCGTCTATTACCCCCACCCGCTGTCCCGTTTTCTCACAGTTGCTGTCTGGTCACCCTAGGGGATACTGGTGGCTGCACAAAGGGAGTAGTATTTTCTAGACTGAGGATCTCACTTGCAACCCTGTATAAACGTGTCTCCTCCATAAGCATGCCTGATCCAGATGCTCTCGGCTTCTGTCTTCCTTTTGCCATTAAGGAGCACAAGGAATGTGTGTTTAACGGGTGCTTAGGCTCTGGGGCAAATGTTCTAATATGTTTCAGAGTAGCAGCCCTGTTAGTCTGTATCCGCAAAAAGAACAGGAGTACTTGTGGCACCTTAGAGGTATGCATCCGAAGAAGTGGGCTGTAGTCCACGAAAGCTTATGCTCTAATAAATTTGTTAGTCTCTAAGCTGCCACAAGTACTCCTGTTCTTCTTTTTGCGGATACAGACTAACACGGCTGCTACTCTGAAACCTATTTTCCTACTCTCCACTTAGTGTGAGCTCTGCCCTGGGGGTTTCTGAACACTTGCTTGTCTTTCTGTCCCATTTTCAGGTGCACATTTTATACTGATGATTATTTCCTTGTCTGCTTCTCTTTTTGCTACATATGGATTTTGGGTTTTTTTCCCTTCAGAGTAAGCAATTAAGATTCCTACAAACAATCTCGGGTACCTGCCAGGTACCAAGGAATTTGTAAAATTCCGTTTTTTACAAGCTCCGATAATGAGTTAATAATTAAAACAGTTCTATCTGAAAATAGAAAAACTTTGGGTTGGAATGAATTTGGGACTTTGTCCCATCTCTGAGTGGTTAAATGGGAGATTCTGTGCTCCCAGATTAGCTGGCAATATATAGCAGGTGCCCGTGCCTGGAGAGCTAATTTTTCTGAGGATACAATTCTGTTAATTAATTTCTAGTTATTTCTGTGTGTATGGATTTCTCACACACATTCTTTTTAAAACTTGTCTTTATTATGTCTACACTAACATGATATGACTGCTGTGAAAGGTTTGATTCTCTCTAGATGTAAATGTTACATTGTGGCTAATAAATTAGCATTTTTTTCTGCCCACTTGTTTTTTTAATGTAGCAATGCCATCAGTGCTGAAGGAGGGGATTATTATTACTATTGTTATTTTATTGTAATTTGTATGTGCTGAATAATGAATGTTAACTCCAGAGTCTATAAAACATTAATCTTGTAACTGTAACATGTGGTGTCAGCATTTTGAGATCCTTTTAATGTACATTTAGGTCTCTGGGCTCAGAAGCCAGATGTTAAAATGCATATTAATTACATGTTTTTTGTTCTCCTACCCCCATTTGTTCTTAGTGGTAAAGGTGATGGGAGGGGACAAGAAGTGAGCACTGTGTTCCACCTGGGACCTTGAATGTGTTCATTTTTATCCTGTTCTTTCTCCTTCCCCTCCCTACTCTGTCCCCTACACTTCACGTTTGCTGTCCTCCCAGTGGCTAGCTGATACACTCCACCGTGAATCCATCAACACTATTCCGGAGTCAGCCTGAGGGTCTCAGGATAACTTAGCAAGATGCCTTCCTGTCCCTTTTGTTGCCCTCAAAGGGTGTGAATGTTACTGCTGGGCGCATTCTGTGCCAAAAATAACACTACATAATCATGCCAGTTTCAATTACTCTGGTAATTTATTTCAAAATACCTGTTAGCTAGTACATCTGTAACAATACAGACACACACAAATTCCCCCAGGAGTAGAGAGTTGAAGAAATCCCTGTGAGAACCCAGTTCCTGTTTCTCTGCCCCTTCCTCATTTCCCCACCACCAGCCCAGCCAGGGGGTAGACACCCGCCCCCCTCCTCCCCAGAGCCCAGGGATCCAGAGGGAGCAACAGCCTGATGTTGGGTCCCAGGCTTGCATGGAGTTTCCTGCACGCGGCTGGGAACTGCAGCTGCCAGGATCTTTCTAGCTCCCCTCTCTCCCCCCAGCAGTGTCTTCTACGTGCAAGCTGGGTTCTGCCAGGTCCAGTGGCCCCTTGTGGCAACTAGCAGCACTGCAGCCTATTTCTGTGGAGGAAAGGAAATTCTGCACGCACGTTCATTTCTGCAAAATTCTGCATTGCGCAGTGGTGCAGAATTCCCCCAGGAGTATATTCTGTTCTGCCTGAGGAGACAGAGCCTGCCCCACTCCTACCTCCTCAGAAACATCCCGAAGCCCTGTCCCTCCATGCTGAGTGTGCCGCAATAGTGAGCAAGAGGGACTGTAACTTTCTGTCACATGCATGACTGTCCCCCCCCCGTCAATGATTTACATTTCTACCAGCTGCTCCAGGCGCCCAACCCCACCTGTCTGTGCTGCCAGGGAGGGGCATGTGACCGTTCTCGCGGCTTCCCCTGTCAGAAGTCATTTTTCTGCAGGGAAGCAAAGAAATTTGTGGGGGACATGAATTCTGCACACACGCAGTGACGCAGAATTCCCCCAGGAGTAGAATGTGCTGTCCCTGCATTCTTAGCAGAAGCTGAACTGGGAATAGTACTTAGACCCTCTCCCATGGCAGTTTGGAGTAGTAACTAACCACTGCCCAATCACTGAAATTCCCTTTTAAGTTAACTTGAAAAATATCGTTTTCCTCTGAATAGTCACAATACTTGTGACTTGACTTTATTATTCTTTGTATTACCGTAGTGCCTAGGAGCCCTGGTTGTGGACCAGGACTCTGTTGTGTTAGGTGCTGTACAAACACAACAAAAAATGGTCCCTGCACCAAAGAGCTTACAATCTAAGACAAGATAACAGATGGATATAGATGAGGGAGTATGAGACCGTACTGGTCAGCATGATAGGCAGTGATCTCAGCACACTCAGTTGCTGCAATTTTATCGTCAGCTAAGAGACAAAGATTGTTTTAAGGAATAAATATTACAAATTAATGTAAGTGCTTCAGTCTAGTATCACGAAAAATCTGTATGGTTGAAAGCTTGGGGCAGGGGCTGCATGTGGATATACTGCTCGTCATACTGTTGACACTCAGTAAACTAACTCCCCTTCCCCATCCTCCGTCTAGCTGTGTGTCTTTCCTCAGATTGTGAGCTGTTCAGGGCAGGGGCCATGTCTTCTTGAATGTCTGGGCAAAATCTAGCTGCTAGCACAAACAAATAAGTAGGTTAAAACAAATTGTGGAAGGGAAAGATAACAGTTGTGTTAAACCCACATTGTTTCAAATGTCACTGGTGTGAATCAGTGAAGCTTATCTAAGTTGTGGCTTTTGACTAAGCGTTTATGCTCTACTTGGGAGAATTTCCTTCAGGAAGGAAATGTTTGTAAGGACGAAACCTAGCTCATTCCTATGGTATAATGCTTTATAGTGTCTTTCTTACAGACTGCATTCCTAAATACTCTATAGAGCTACCTAGCATAGTTATAAAATGAAAAAAAAAGTTGTTATAGCTAAGGAAGAGAGGAATTAAGAGGGGTAGGCACAGGTGTGTGTGTGTGCGTGCGTGCGCGGGGGCAGGGATAAGAGATGACAGTTGAAAGTGGAGAGTTGATGAGATGGCCAGGTCCAGAGAGGCTGATGCAGCAGAGGAGAAGGCTATTGCACTCACTGTGGTGAGATTGTGTGAAGAAAGGCTGTGGAGGGTGGCAGTTTTGACCAGTCTCCTGAAAGGAGAGGACAGCCAGTGGAGTTGTGTGAACATCATTCATTACGGCCACTCTTGTTCATGGGCGTGAGAAAGCACGTAGCAGTGTTCTTTGCCTACTGGAGTCTGGATGTGGAAAGAGAGTAAAAAAAAAAAAATGAAAGAAAGAATTGCAATAGCTTAGGCAAGGGAAGATGGAGGCATGGATGAGAATTTCAGCTTGGGTGGAATCAAGTCCACGGTGTGCATAGGAAACATGGAGAGTAGTATGTAACCATACAAGGCATCGTGGTCTGAGCATGGGACTAGCAATCAGGAGCTCCTGAGTTTTAATTCTGCTTCAAATACTTCCTTGTGGCCTTGAGTTCATGAGTTAGCCTCTCTGCCTCGGTTTCCCCATCTGTAAAATGGGGGTGAAGCTTGCCTCCATCCAAGGGGGGTTGTGTAGATTAATGTTTGAGGAATGCTTTGAGCATAAGTGCTGAGTATTTTGTAGGTGTGGAAGAAACATTAAGAATCAAGCCAAGGTGACAGACAGTGGGAGGAAGGAGGACAAGTGGGAGGCCTGAATCAGGGAGGAAAACGTTGTGTCTCAGGATGCTTATCTTGCCTAAGGAAGGCACTTGTGTCTTTTAGATGTTTAGCTGCAGGAAGTTGAGAGGAAGTGGCAAGTCTGTTTGGTCAAGGCAGACTGAAGGTGGACAGGAAGGTGGCTTCTGAGTTTCTCTCTCCACTTATCAAAAGTGAGTGAATGCATTACTGTGCTCCAATTTGGGGGGTGAGGGAGGTTGTCCTAGTAATTA